CTGCTCATTAATTATATCAATATTATCATGTACTAGAGTTTCTAGTTAACTTTAATCGAGCTGACAGTTAGTCTCACTGCAGAATCTTCATATTTTGCGGGCTTGGTTCAAACGTTAGTCCTGCAGTCCTTACAAATGTGACACCTAATCTTTATGATGTCTATCCTAATAATAGCTTAATGTCCTAAGACAGTTACTTCTCATAATTGACATATCTTCCGTCACTTCAATGTTAAGCCATGCATTTGAAAGTATCGAGTTTTTGTTGCAGTTTCTACAAGGTGAAAGCAGTGTTGCAATTAGCCGTATTTTTTCCTCGCTGGGAAGTTAGCTAAAACTATAAAACTGGTGTACCCAATATGTCTATTAGGAAATCAATATTACATCTTATAGAGCATTGAGGAAGACCGTTCAAGTTTCATTTTGTAGTTACTGAGTAATATGATGTAGTTATCTGTTTCCTATTTTGCTATCAGTGACAAAGTCCACATATAGAATGAGTCCAGAGCTCCCTCATCTTGCGTCTATTAATTATCTAGCCATATGTTTGCTCCACTCGCGTCTGCCCTACCTCTTCCATTGTTCTTCCCGACATTATATGCATTTCTCCAGGTTGCGATTAATGTGTTGACAAACATAGCGTCATTCTAACATTGTGTTCTAAATGATTCCGTTCCTTGCTCTTCGGGCTGAGGGCTATGGTAAGTGTTCGTGACATTTCAGAAGGCTCGAATCAAACTTAGACATGAGTGGGTTCAAATCTCACCGTTGTGGGAAGTACGTATATTAAAACTCAATGAAATTGCTTTCATCAAAAAGATAGAATTGGGAAAGATTCATGATTTAAGCTCTGGAGAAAGTGTTAGGGGTCTTAGTGGAGTAATCTTTTCCTTCCACACTTTGTTTGCCACTATATTATCCGCAGAGAGATGAAGCCGGATGATTGCAAATACTTTTTAAAGCATCTATAAACCAGTTTTAGAGCTGAACCAAACCATGAGTTTTCTCCTTTGCGCAATTTTTCTCTACACTTCATCCGCAGGTATAGCTAGAATACAAAGGCTTGAAAATCTACCTTGTGGTACGCTTACAACTCAAAATTTTCAAGAAGAAATGAGGTCAAAGTAAATCTGTGTGAAAATACATCGATGACTTTTCTAATTTTGCTTATTTTCCAAATGAAAATTATCTACACCCACCCATAGATGTAATGTGGAGTTCACTATGCATACCTTCAACAGATAGAGTTAAGAAAGGTGGTTAGAAAAGTTTACGGTAATATAAGTGATGTAAAAAATGAGGTTTATGAGAAAGTTTTGTCTAGATACGCTCAGGGTAAGGATTTTCGCATCGACATCTCAACATAGCTTATAGTGCTATTAGTTTCATTAGTGTATGTAGACGGCTTTGAAAATA